CTCTCTCTCTCTCTCCCGCTCTCTCTCTCTCCCACTCTCTCTCTCTGTCTCTCTCTCTCTCTCTCTCTCCCTCTCCTGCTTTCTCTCCCTCTCTGTCTCTCTCTCCCCCGCTGTCTCTCCCACCTCTCCCTTGCTGTTGAAGCCGAGGATCTCGAAGCTGATGCTGGACGTGCGTCCGGTCTGGATCTCGTGCAGATGTCTGAAGAGGTTGAGTCGCGCTCGGCCTCGGCCGTTGTCCAGCTCTCCCTGCGTCAGGACGCCGAGCAGCGTCGACTTCCCAGAGTCCACGTTCCCCAGAACCGCCACCCGCAGGTCCAGGAACTGTCCCAGTCCAGAGGAGAAGGATCATAGCCTCTGACATTAACTCAGTTCACCCCGTCAAACAGCAGAAAATGAATCCTGATGAATGAATGAATGAAGGACAGACTCACCTGCTGATCATCGGGAACTTTTCGAACCAGGACTTCTGCGATTTTACGGGTGTTTCTGTCCAAGTCGTAGTCCACCTCCCTCTCTCGGAGGAGAGTGATGTCGGCGCCGACTCTGACGGGACAGAAAACCTGATCAGACCTCGAACAAACAACCGACAACAGCAGGAAGCAGAGAAAGTCTGACAGCGATCAACCTGGTTTCATAGAGGTAGAGAGAGTAGGTAGAGGTTACCAGGCTGCCACTAGGGGGCGCAAAGCCTTCTCGATGTTAGGATGTGTAAGAAAACTTTGAAAATGTACACAGTGGGCCGATATCTATGGAAGCCCATTTCTGCCAATGTGACGAAATAATAAAAGTCTGTATATATATATATATATATATATATATATATATATAATGAGAAAGTTTCTTAATATTTTGACCTAATATCACAAAGTCATTATTCGGAGATATTAAGTTTATATTTCATCGTAATTAAAACAACCAAAGAGCTAAAAGTGGCAGGGAGAAGAAAATGCTGAATTTGGCAAAAAAAAATTTGCCTAATAAGTTTGTATGATTGTTAAAAAAGTAAATAAATACAGACAAAGAAATGTGTAAAAGTTCCTAAAAATAAAGGAACTCAAGGAAAAAGTCAACTAAAGGAAAACTCTGATCAATATTTACAGGAAAAAAACTCTTAAGCGGTTTCATACATCCAGAGATCTTCTATAAAATCCAGACCGGGCCTCTAATTGAGACACCTTTGTGTTTTTGGTTCATAAAAATAAAATAATTAGCAGGAATTTCTCGTATTAAACGTCATCACACACAAATAAAGTCCTATATTACAGATCTGTTACAGACGCAGGCGACCTACTTCTCCGCCATCCTCTTTAAGGTTTTGAGCGAGGCCTTCATGTCGGCCTCCGTCAGGCCGACCAGCAGGCCGTTGTCCTCCACGCCGATCTGGTAGACGGCCTCGCCGCGGCCCTCCTGCAGACGCCACTTGAGCTGCGTGGCCAGATGCTCAAAGCGATACTGAGTCGGGTTGACGAGCTTCAGCTACGGAGACAGAGAAACAGAAACACCGGAGCTTTAATCTGTCGACTATTGTCTCCAGTTATTGATCGATCAGTTTGTCTATAAATATTAATATGAATATTAAATAATGCCACTGAGACCTGTAGTTTATTCACACCGGAGGGTGAGAACGAGCAAAGATGGAGGATTTAATGTTTCATAGCTCTGATCTAATTAAATCTGACATCACTAAAACAACAACAACAACAACAACAAACAGTTATGATTCTTCAAATGTTCATTTAACATACATTCCCAAAGCATAAAGTCTGTCTTTTTATATAAGAATTCAAGATAAATTATTATGATAGAATATAATTAATATACTAAAATAAGATTAAAGACAATAATAAAAACTATATTTCCTCTTTGTATCTGAGGTTAGAGTATAAACTGGGACAGATACAAAAGATACATTCATATATGTTTTCGGTGCCCTATTGTACAGACAGACGTTGACACTGTGGTCAGTATGTTGCTGCTATAATGTCGATATGAACAGAAACTCTGTGTCTGCTGCGATTAGTTCAGTATGTGCTGAGTTTACTTCATTTGGTTCTCTTTGGTTTTATAAAATGAGTTTCATCGTGATGTGTCTTTCACACTTTAACTTTAGTATTTTTACAGTGTGGAAAATAAAGGATCTGAATACTTCCTCCACCGCTGACTGTGGTCAACATATTTGTATATTTGTATATCTGTATATTTGTATATGTGTATAATTGTATATGTGTATATTTGTATATGTTATATTTTATATTGTATATTTGTATATGTGTATACAGTTATTATTGTATATTCTTGTATACTTTGTATATTGTATCTGTTCGTATTCTGTATATGTGTATATTGTCATACGTTTGTATAGTGTATATTTGTATATGTGTCATACTTGTATAGTTTGTATATGTGTATTATTGTATATTTGAATAGTCGCTGTATATTTGTATATGTGTATAATTGTATATGTTAATTTGTATATTTGATGTGTATATTTGTATATTTGTATTGTGTATAATTGTAGATTGTATCATCTTTGTGATATTTGTATATTGTGTATAATTTGTATTTTGTATATGTGTATATGTGTAATAGTTTGTATATGTGTATATGTGTATATTTGTATATTGTATATTTATGCACCACTGGCAGGTCCAGTTCCTCGTGGGTGTAAAAAACGTTGGCAAGTAAACAAAATCAGATTCTGATTCGTAACAACTAAATATCT